TCACGTCCCAGACCTGGTGGCTTAAAACTCACGCCGGGCGCGTGTGCGTGCGTGCCCAAGATCCCGAGAGGAGTATGGAAGAGAAGGGATTGCGGTGTGACCATCCCCCCTGGGGGGGTGATTTCTCGCTTTCTGTCTCTATGTCTCTCTCTCTCTGTCTTTCTGGCGAGCACACGCACCCTATAGCGAAAACCTCTCCAAAAAAAAAAAAGATATAGACTGGCCAAATGGATTAAAAAACAGGAGACTTCTATATGCTGCTTGCAATAAACACATCTCATTGGTAAGGACATAATAGATTGCCAGTGAAAGGTTAGAAAAAGTCTTTTCATGTAAACTAAAAACAAAAATGCAGGTATTTCCATTCTGATATGGATAAAACAGACCCTTCAAAGATATATTGAATAAAACCCCTAAAGTCAGGGCAATAAAACCAAAAATAGATAAATGGGATTACATCTAGCTAGAAACCTTCTGCACAGTAAAGGATACAATAGACAACCCACAGAAGGGGAGAAAATATTTACACAAAGGATTGACAATCGGATTACATAAGAAACTCAAACAGCTCACCTGGAAAAATTAATAATTCAATCAAATAATGGGCAATTGACCTGAAAAGACAATTCTCAAAGGAAGACATACAAATGGCTAAAAGGCCTACCAGAAAATGTTAATACCTCCTATCATAAGGGAAATGCAAATCAAAACCACAATGAGATAACACCTAACTCCAGTCAGAATGGCTACTATCAAAGAAACCAAAAATAGCAAGTACTGTCAAGGTTGTGGAGGAAAGGGAACTTTCCTGCACTGCTGGTGGGAAAGTAAATTTGTACAGCCACTATAGAAAACAGTATGGGGGTTCCTCAAAAATCTAAAAGTAGGACTACCATATAACCCAACAGTGCCATTATTGAGTATATACCCAAAGCACAGGAAATCACTCAGCTGCAAGACATTTGCATCCATGTTTATTTTTTTAAGAATTCTTTTTATTTAACTTACTTACTTTATTTATTTATTTATTTATTTTAATTGACCAAAGAGGGACAGAGTGTGTGAGAGAGAGAGAAAGTGAGAAAGCAAGCCGTCAGGTCTGGGACTTGAACTGCAGTCAGACATGTGGAAGTCCAGCGCCCTTAACCACCACACCAAAAGCCAGTCCCTGCATCCATGTTTATTACAGCATTATCCAAAATAGTTAAGTCATGGATCAACCTAATTGCCCAATAATAAATGAATGGATTGGGAAAATATGGTATATATACACGATGGAATATTAGCTATAAAGAACAAAATTAATTTGATACAAAGTGGATGAATCTAGAATATATAATGCTAAGAGAAATAATCTAGACTAAGAAAGACAAATACTATATGTCCTCACTTAACATATATCAAATGTCTGCACTCTTTGGTGGAAACTGAAGGACTCTAAAGCATCAAAATAGAGAGTGTAACGGTAGACATGAGAAGCTGTGGTAAGACTTTGGTGAAAAAAATTTTAAGGGACACAAGAATGCATGTAAATAAGACAAAGAGGCTTTGGGATGGTGTACTACAGCAGAGTAAAATACATGCAGGATTTAATGCATACTTCAAAAAAACTAGTAAATCTATAATCAAATGCAATACAACATAATGTTCAATGTTGTAGCTAAATATGTACATGTCCACTATTTGATTATTATACACTATACATATGCTTTAAAAACCATACTGTGCTCCATAAAGATACACATCAAATATACATAAACCAAAAATAATAATATAAAAGTTAAAATTTCTAAAAATCTTCTACCATTTGGTGTAGAGACTTTACAAAGCAAGTGATAAAAACATGATGTACCTCTTTGCCACTCTGTTATATAGTGCCATGATTTTACAAACTTCAATTCCATTGCCCATTTTGCAATACGAGTCTGAAGCTTTTGAAGTCTCTTTTCCTCCTCCTTCCTCATGGGAAAAAATAACATACATACACACACACACACACACACACACACACATACATACATATGCACACATATATTGGACTGGCACCTTATCCACTTAAAAACATTAATTCAGACAGACTTTAAATAGTTAAGATGTGTTCTATCTTAGCCATATGGATACTGAACCAAACACAAGTCACTCCCACTGCCTAAATCACCACTTTTATTATAGTCCTGGTGACTAAGATAACAAATGGCCCTATTCACTGACAGCCCACATGGTCACATATCCAAAAATTTGAGATTCTAAAAGAGCAGCTCCAGGACCATCAGACTGCCACTATGCCTGAAAGTCCTTCCATTAGTCATTTCATTGAGTTTAGGCATTCATGATCTCTGATGACATGCAAATGTATCACTCGGTAAGAGTAAAAGCTTAAGGCAATGTAATATATTAGAAAGAGCAGAGATATTAAAATGAATAAAATTTTATTTTAAAATCAGAATTCACCAATTCCCCAATTTTGGTATTTGCTTTCTGCATCTGTAAAATGGAGGTACTAGTATCCATTTTGAAGAACTATTAATATGGATACCTATTATACCTTACAATCGCCAAAAGGGGTAATGTGCTTAGAGTACCTGGCATGCTTACTAAGCACTCAATGGTAGCTGTTATTATCATTAATAACCTCATACACTCATTATCACAGCATCTACAGCAGAATCCTTAGGCTAGAGAAAGGGAACTAACCCTTGTTAGAGCTCAGAGGTCATGTTATTCATTAAGAACAAAGTATCTGAACTCAGGTATCTGAGTCCAAAACCCACTCTCTTCCCACAGAAACCTGCTCCTCTTTCTTGCATGTGTCCAACCTATAAGAAAGTGGTAATTTGACAGCCTTAGTGACTCTAGTTCCTTTGAAAAGTTAAGCTCAGAAAGATTGGATAATCATATTGAAGTACATGAAAAGCAGGGCAGCAGGTAGCATGGTGGTTAAGACACTGGATTCCTACATGCCCTGGACCTGGACTTCGACCTGGTAGCTTAAAACTCATGCCGGGTGCATGTGTGTGCATGCCCAAGATCCCAACAAGAAAATGGAGGAAAAGGTACTGTGGTGTGGCCGATTTCTCATTTTCCCTCTCTGTCTCTCTCTGGCAAGCACATGGGCCCTATGGCAAAAACCTAAATATATAGACAGAATGAGTCTATTTTCACACAGGCCTAAATGCTGATGAAGAGCAGAGTCCATTTTAAAACCACAAAATAGGCAACTGAAGTGAGACCTAGAATGACCTGCTGATACATGAAAATGAATTGTGTTCTCCCAAGTCATCTGTGTCACATCTTCTCAAAATTCCAAGGAGCTCTCAGCATATGCAATACCAAAATAGCACAAATCCAGAAAACCTTGCTTTAGATGTGATGTCTCTGATAAACTCCTTCCTCTCCAGTGCTCCCCCACCACCACCAAATAACCAAGGCCCTCCTAGTAATCAGGATTCTGAGGGTACTAGTAGGGTAGGGTCATTTTTGTTCTCTGCCCCCAATCCTGTCTCTATACCAAACAGGTAGCATCCTCCAACCCCTTTCAACATATGGAGTGTTTCCCTGTGAGCAGTTTACAGCATGGCTGCTTTCCAGAATCCTGAGCACCTTGTGAGATGATGCACAGGACGGTGGGGACAGTGTGTGAAGGGCAGAAAGGCAGAGGGAAATTCCAGGTCATGGGACATCAGGGCACCTTGGGGAAACAGAGCCTCAGGGAAATGACTTCTTATTTCACAGAGAGAGGCTGGGTCCTAGGCAGGCACCCTCCCACCTCACCACTCATGTCCCACTGACTCCAGAAAAGCCACCTTCAAGGGACCATGTGTCTTCAGACAGTGAGGGTAGCAGTGACAATCACAGTGGACTGAAAGTTCTATATATACCCCATCCCCATTAGGTCTGTAATATGTAGGAAGAGGAAAGGCCTTCTAATAGTGAATGGGATTGAACTTTTCTTCACCATAGTGGGACAGTGGGAAGATGCATATGTAAACTGCCACCTCTGAGTAAACTTGCGCCGAGATACACACTACACAGAAGATATAGCAAGCAAGTGCACGCTCTTTATTACTAGTTAGTATCAGAAAGCCGCTGACAAAAGTTGATCTTGGTAAGCTGAGCAGGATCTCATGTGGGAACTTGAGGATACCTTTTGTTCTAATTAAAGGTTGACCCTTGGTTCCCTCCTTGCCTTGCAAAACTTGCCGTGAGGGACCAGAGAGCCCATAGAAAACACCCAAATAGAAGAGATGGATCCAGAGACATCCTTAAGCCAGTTATATTTTAATAACCCAGTTAGTCCTCTCATGAGAAGCACCATCCATAACCCAATGGCCCTCATGTTGGCCCCTGGAATTCATTTTGTCCTTCATACACTGTTGACTACAGCTCAAGACTGAAGGCTGGAAGTTGTAGCCAGCACTCCCCTAACACTGCCTTTCTTCAAGTCAACCAATAGTCTTTACAGTAGGCTGGCGGGCAACCAGGAAAATAGCTGTTCCTCTCAAGGAAGGAAACCAGCAGGGGGTCAGAAAAGTCTGTCTGTACTTTCATGAAGCCACTTAACCAAAGTTTACCACTCTGCTCATTTGTTTCATCTGGGACCAATGAAATAAGCAATTTGGTGACTCAAAGCCTTCATGAAAGCCTCTTTCACATTGTCCCCACAACTGCAAATACAGATCTGGATATTATTTCATTTGGTTTTACCCAAAGGAGACACATCTGATCTAAGCTGTATCCCAAATTGGGCTTCCTCCTCTCATCTAAAAAGCTCACCAAAAAGGATTATGATGTGGGCACCAGATAATACCATATAATTCTAAATCCTAATGAACACTAAGCAATAAATGCTTGTTTGTTAAATGAATTAAATGAAATACATCAAACTTGTCATCTATAGAATTTAATACTGAAAGTCCCCGAACTCTTCTAAGTTAGTCCATTGTCCCAGTGAATAAATGAAATTCTAAAAAAAAGAAAACATTTTACTCTCCCTCTTTCCCCTGATGAGTGTTAATCCATTTCTTCTTTCTCGACTTCCTCTCACTCTTCTCAGCTCCAGCCAGCGGGGGGGTCTCACAGAGGTGTGGATCCATCAGATGTTATTTCTTTCCGTTGTTGGGAGATCTTCTAATGGGACAGGTTCGGTTTCTTTAACAACAAATAAGGTCAAGGGGGCTGGGACACAAAAGCAGGACCTCATCTATAAAACATTAGAAAAAAAAGAAAAGGAAGAAGCAAAGGTGAACACCATGGTAGTTTCCAAAGGAACAATAACATTTTCAAGGAAAAGTGGTGCTCCTAAAAATTAAACATACTTTATGATTCTAAAATCATGTGCTTGCTTCCAGCCAAATATTTCTACATGGCCTATTCAGGGGAAGTAGATTAATAAGGAAACAAACAAAAAAAAGAAGGGGGGGGGCTTCATGGCATCAGGTTCTCCAAGATGCCAAGCAATCAGTATCAGCCATCCAGCATCTGCCACCTGCAAAACTTAAATGCATTTATGGAAAATCCAACATTTAGAGAGTGTGATACTCAAAAATAATCTCTTTGTTCAAGTAAATGAACAAAATAATATAAATATGTACAGATTTGTATGCATGTATATCTATACTGAGGAAAAGCAGTTAACTGGAGTAATGAAATAAATAATAGATTATTTTACTTTATTTTTTCCCCATGATAATTTTTGTCACAAATTTTCTGTGAGGTAAATAAGTTACTTTTTGATCAGAAGTGGGGAGGGGGGTGTCTTAGGAAATTTGCTCCTCTTTTGGAGTGTTTCCATCTTACTTACCTTCCTGAAATCAGTGAGTTTGTCCTGGGTCAAAGTCTCCATGCTCAATTGGCATGCGCACTTTCTTACATTTGTAGCAGGCTGTGCGCCATGAGTAATTCCATGCTCTACACCGTGAGCAGTCCCAATCCAGGAAACGACGTCCTGGGACAGGCCTTTCCTGTTGCTGAGATTCCCAGGTTCTTCTTCCTTTTGGTTGCTTCGCCTTCTGCCCCTGAGGTTGATGTTTCTTTGAATTTTCTCTCATGTCATGGTTCTTGTTGTACTCCAGGAAGGTTGCCTGGGGCATTTCTGAATCTGCTTCCTGGCTTTGACTCCTGCTAACCCCCCAGGGGACCATCCTCTGGGCCTTCTCCGCACCTTCCTGGTTGTGGCTCCTGCTAAACCTTGGGGGAGCCATCCCCTGGGTCTCCTTTGCATTTTCCTCCTGGCTTTGGCTCCTGCTAAATTCCCAGGGTGCCATTCTCTGGGCCTTCTCCACACCTTCTTCCTGGTTGTGGCTCCTGCTAAACCTTGGGGGAGCCATCCTCTGGGCCTTCTCTGCATTTTCCTCCTGGCGTTGGCTCCTATTAAACCCCCAGGGGATGATCCTCTGAGCCGTCTCTGCACCTTTTTCCTGGTTTTGGCTCCTGCTAAACCTTGGGGGGGGGATCCTCTGGGCCTTCTCTGCATTTTCCTCCTGGCTTTGGCTCCTGCTAAACCCCCAGGGAGCCATTCTCTGAGCCCTCTCTGCAACTTTTTCCAGTCCATGGATCTTGCTTTCCCCCTAGGGGCCAGTCTCAGGAGGCTTCTCCAGAGTTTCCTCCTGGCTTTGGCTCCAACTGTCCCCCAAGGAGACAGTCTCATGGGGTCTCTCTAGATCTTCTTCCAGGCTTTGGCTCTCTCTGTTCCCAATGGGAGCCATCCCCTGGGGTCTTTCTGGACCTTTCTCTTGATTACAGCTCCCACTGATCCCTAGGGCAGCTGTACCCTGGGGCCTCTTTAGATCACTTTCTTGGTTGTGGCACCCACTGTCCCTGAGGAAGGAAAGTCCCTGGGACCCCTCTTGATCTTCTTGGTGATTGTGACTTATGCTGTCTCCTAAGGGGGCTGACCCCTGGAGGATCTCAGGACCTCCCTCCTGGATGTTATTGTCCAGGTCCCACAGTGGGATCATTCCCTGCAAGCCTGCTGTAGTCCATGGAACAAGTGGGTAAGTCCCCGAAGGGACTACCACTGCTTCTGTTTCCATGACTACTGCTGTTGGAATAGCTTGCAGGCATGGAACTCCCACTAGGAATGGTGGAGGGAATGGAAACAGCACTGGCATTGGCTGAGGGGGTTGCACTGCTTGGGCCCAGGGACCTGAAGGTCCTGGAACATGAAGAACAGCTGTTGGGGCTGGCACTTGGGCCTCAAAATACAACCTGCCAGGACCTCCCATGGCTACTGTGTCTCTTGGCTGATCAAAATTCGGGGGCCATACTACAGACCCATGCTGTTCAGGTTGAGAACCAGGCACTGTATGGGCCAGTGAGGTGGCCTGGGCCAACCTCTCAGCCTGGAGCAGCCTCCCACGCAGCACATCACACTCATTCAGAGCCTGCTGCAGGGCGGCCTGTGTGAAGCACAGTTGAGCAGCCATCTCCTCACGTTCATCACGTGTCTGCTGCAGTTCCGCGACAAGAGCCCAAGTAGCTGCCTCCCACTCCTCCACCTGCTCCTGTAGCCGTCGAACCCGGTAAGCCTGCTGTTCCTGCTGTCTCGCAACTATACGCACACTCAAGGCTAGCGCACTCCAGGCACAGGCCCTCTTGATGGTACGGGGAACCTGTGGGTCCGACACGACGGTCTGAAGCCGATCTTCCACCTCACTCCAGGGCCTTGAGCGGAAGGCTATGTAGAATTCGGGGCCGCCACCATTCATGAGGACTTCATTGTTGATGAACCTGATCACATCGTTATGTCGGAACCCACTGGCGTGGTCACCAAAGTCCAAGGCCATTGCTGCTGCGGCCCAGTCAAACAATCCCCTCAATAGGCGGTTGGTCACGCTGTAACTGCCATGCCGCCACCACCAGTAGAGTTTGCGGCCCCTAGACGATCTGTCCCTCACCTTCCGGCCCAGTCCTACTTCAGTCTCTGCCCAATCCTGGCCGCCACGTCGGCCTCCTTCTTCCCTCAGCCAGTGGTTCCCCACACTAAGAGCAAACGGCTCTTCTCACCATGCCAACCCCTGCCAGGCAAATGCGTAACACGTCACAGAGGCTGAGTCATGCCGCAAGGCCTGCTGGGAGCAGCCACCCTCAACGTAACGGTCCCTATAGGGTAACGGCTGCCCTGGGTTCTGCAGTGAAGCAATAGAAGCTTTATTTCCTAGAGCCTGGTAAGGAATTGAGTAGATACATGCATGGGGGCTACTCTTAGCTCCATCTCTCCTATTTCCAGTTACTACTGGTATTAATATTATATATATTATATATATTTAATAGAGGTATTAATTACATTACACAATATAATTAATATTTATTGATTATTATAATTGATATAATTAATTAATCTAAATAAATAAAATAT